TAAGGTTTTATAGGGTCTTGAGTAGGCTTCGTATATTAGCGAATTGTCTAGTTTGCTTGTAATAGGATTTCTGAGTAGGAAGTGAAACCAATTTAACGTTCGTAACACGATTTAAAGAGGTATTTTGCGTGATAAATCAGCATCAATACCTTAAGTCCGTGACATCCCACTAAACCATAAGGAGCCGTAATTAAACAAAATGTTCTGCCCTACAGACATGGGTGGATTGAAGTTATCTCCCCACCTTCATGTTTGCTGGTCAGTAACGCCACCCTCCCTCCTTTTGTGATGTTAGGCTCTCCTACGTTTGTGGTAAGTATGATTAATGCTTTAATCAAAGTACATAGTTGGAATACACTGTCTCTACTAGGTCCATGTTACAAGCAAATCAGGTATTTAAAAATTCTGTTTTATGGGTTAGACGTCCATATAGTATATCACACTGCTATGAAAATAACTAATGGTTTAAAGAAGTAAGGATTAATAGTAAATCAAAAGATATGAGAGGGTATAAAATTGTAGAAAAGAAAGAAAAAGACTTTAGGGTAAAAAAAAATAAGACATTGAGAAACTCACAAGACTTTGTGGCCAAATTTTGAGCTTTGAATGATCGGCCTTAGTAGATCAGCATCCATAAGATTGAGCTATCTGTCTAGAACTCTCCATGATCCTCACCATGGTCTTCATATATCTTTGTACCTACGCATCCAGCTGTTACACTAACAATAATCAAGCGGACATTCGTCGTGACAGTCAGTATGTATATAAAAACGACATTATTTCACCGTTACATTATAACGCATTCGGGCCACTGAAATCGTTCAACTAAGATGTCGTTTTATCTATATTTGATGAAGAATTGTTTCCTCGTTGTTGTTATCTAACAGATGATTTCGGCAGTTTAATCGGTCATTCAAATACTCATATCTATTCAATATCACTGTTTAAGAAGTTTGAAGTTGTTGCAAAGTAAATAAAATGAGCACTTGTTATGAGATGTAACCTGAAAACTCGCGTCCCATAGGTTTGTTTCAAGTTTGTTTCAGGCACAAGAAGCTCTATTACATGCACTAAGGGCGTGACGTTTCAACAGGGCATTTAGATGCAAACTCTCAACAATGCTTAAGATTTGCAGTGGAACAGACAAAGGTATGAAAAAGTAGTAGGTGAAACTTATACTAGCTTAGAATAATGGAACGGAATATGCTCAGATTCCTCAAATAAGAGAGTACGGTAATAAAGAACAATGAGTTGTGATATTCAAGAAGGTGGGTTGTGTTGTGTCTTTGTGGCCTGCTAGTTATAACGTAGTTGATTCGCCAATCGAAATACGACTTATTCACTCTTGCACTGTATTAAACCAATGACGTTCGACCAGTCTGATCAGCCTAGCGTGCTTATTGGTCCTTAGCTCACCTAGCCCGTCCAGTTGAGTCCAGAACAACAATAACAGCTTCCACTATGCGAATCATTTATTTCAGACATACTTGGTTTATATACCAACCAAACAGACCGCATCGCACTATAAAATAGGAAATAACATCTATACACATTGAAGCCAGAAAGTGGCTGTGAACGTGGGAGACAGTAATTAATAAACTGAGTATACTTTAAGAATAGTAAATCGTATAATAATAAACTATAGGTCAAAATGAGGCTTACAGTAAGAGGAATATAAATGTACACAATCTAGTTACTGAACAGTTAAACAATGGGAATATATATTTATAATATTAGTTCATTAATGGGTCTCAGAAGTTACTCGTAATTTAGTCTTCGCTAGGATATGACTGTATGGGTCCAAATTTAGATTCAGGAAGGCTATTTATCAGAATCGAAAGTGCATAACAAGAGACTGAAGTGTTCAGAAACGCTAACAATCATATCTCATTTTGTGTTTTTTAATATTATTATATTTTCACCTGCTGCCAGACACTAGGTCATAACGTGAAAGCGAGTTAGGTCGTTGTAGACTTAGTAGAATAGTAAATGTGACACAATATTGGGAACGTGTGTTTGAGTAGCGAGCCTTACTATCACGGATCGATTGTCTCGTCCTCAGACATAAGAAACCATAACGAACAACGTGTTCTGCTCCACAAACATAGTTGGATTAAATCCGTTGCCCTCACCATCAAGGCCTACTGGTCAATAACTCCACCCTCCTTTCTTTTGTGATGTAAAGCTCATTCAATCTTTTTTGGGAAAATTATTATATCTTATAAGATACTTTATGTTTCCTGCTGGAAAACATTATTTTTATAAGTATATTATACAAGCCTATCAAGCGGTTGCAAACTATGGACTGTGAGTAAGGTATCAATGTAATTCCAGGGATGACTATAATATAAACTAGTGGTTTATAAACAAAGTATGAGTATTTCGAGGTGTATAATGTCAGACATACGTCTACCAAAGTGGGTGGAAATATGTAGGCACACAACAGTTATATATACATATCGATCGGTTATGAGATTCCATGAACAGATAGTCAACAAAATGCAAGTGAACGTAGTTAATTGATGAAAAATGTACAGGAGAGAACTCACATCAACGTGGTGCTGATGGCAAATTGTGTTATTCTAACCAAGTAATGGGTTGTGAGCTCTGTAGATGCATGACCACTTGTAGTAGGCAATAACTTGTAGGGTTCTCCTGACAACTATATAGGATAGCGGTGAGAGCACCTGACGGCCGACCGTAGTTAAACGGAATCGATAGGTCGAGTGAGTTATCTGTCTACTTCAAGCAAAAATTGAGAAGAACATATAGCTACAGGGATATATATAGCTCTTAAGTTGAAGCGAAAGAGGAACAAAACCGAGAATATGATATGATTTAGACATGTGGAAGGCCCATGATATCTAATAATGGCGTAAATGTGCTTGCGCGTATTCGGAGATCAGTACAATCAAGAAGTCTCAAAATCCTAGGTAATTTATCTAAAATATTTCACAGTGAAAACTGTTCCATATTGATGCATACTTGATGAGAAAGAAGTTTTCCCAAGTTTTGATCTAGATTTTCTAACTGTGATTGTAGATACTTTATCTCTAAGGTCACACACATATGGGCCCTGATTAAAGGCTTTATTACAGGTAACGTGAGAAAGATTTTTGAGAAGCTTGAAGTAAGGAATCAAAATGGACCTAAGAATTCTTCTCGGAGTGGTTGAAGTCCTAGGATAAGGCATCCGTAACGATAGTCACAGAGCGATTCGGTTTTAAGCCATTCGTAAGATCCGATTGTATTCCTTCTACCTTCAGTATATCGAATAAACGTAAGTTGGAAACCACGTTAGGTGCTGACCGCGAGGTGTGACTTCGGAGTTAGTTGTTTGTTACTCCATTTCCACCTAACTCGAGTAGAACAAATTACTATTATCACTCGCACCGTTTAAACTTATCAAACAATAGCCTGTTACATGACACATGTCAGTGTACAGGCAAGATCAAATCGTCACAGAATGTAGTCTTTGCTGCATTAGTTTACTCAGCCAGGTTGATAATTTATGCGGTGCACTGGTCATAGAATTATGGGGAATAACACTTCTCACATATGAATGTAAACGATATTAGTAAGACGACAGTTGGTGCGCTTCATGGAGGTTGCGTTGCGATATGCAAATGGTGGTCGAGAAACACTTCACATATAGTTGAAAAGCTTCCAGAATCCGCGACCCACTATCATTCTGGAACATCTGGCGCAATAATGATGGCGCAAGACAAGGTCACCTGTCGAACATGTGTTTCGAGTGGCATAACTTGAGAGGGCTAGAAAAGAGGGTAAGAAAAGTAAAGGGCAAGAAGCATGGCAGACCTCGGGGCTACAGATTCTTCGTATTCTTGTGGTCGTAAAGGAAGAATTGAGCCTCTTAAAAGAGATACTTATCAAAAACGGATATCCTTCTATATTCATTGATAAGAACATGAAGCCGAAAATGCAGAAACCACAAACGATTACAGTAGAAAAGAAAATTTTATACATGAACATTGACTTCAAAGGTGACAGAGCCGCACGTGTCATAAAGAGGAGAATTTCAGATTCTTTAAAAAGAACATTCTTCACAGCAACATTGCTAATATTATTCTCTAGACGATCACTGTTCACCAATAATCTGAAAGATAAATTATTGCATCTGACCAGCTCAGTGTGCATTTACCAATTTACCTGCCCTTGTGGAGCTAGATATATAGGTCATTCGATGTGTACTTTATCCAAAAGAATTCAAGAAAATTGTCCGGCGCGGTTAAGACGAGGAGGCAACGGCTCAATAAGAAGTTTTATAATCAAAGACCTTGTGAACACAAGTCATTTAATCAAGACAGACTCTGCGTTCAGAGCCATCTACAAGGTAAGTAGAAGCCTTCCTCATACAATTGGACGGCATCTTTTTTGCATTGCCGAGGCAACAGCCATACATTTTGAAAAACCAGCATTATGTGTACAAAAGAGACTGGTACAACCTCTTCTTCTACCATGGTCTTAATGTATTAAAATTTTTCTCTTTCTTCATACTCTTGTTTCCTTACAGCCAACTGCTTCACCTTCCATCTTCCATTCAAATCTTCTACCAGCAACCGGTTTGTTTTTATTTCCACGATCATTCCGATTACATTTCATCTCTGTTTCAACATTTTATTTTATCATGCTGAGCCATCCTTCCACGATGAGTACTTAAGCAATTAACTATCAAACGATCATTAAACTTTTCTGGTTTTAAAATTTTTTTCTAATACCTTAGTTTATTTAACCTCACTCTCACCATGTATAACAGAAGTTTATTATCACCCTGTAAAAATACGTATATACATTTGCGATTGTAAAGCTTTGAAAATGAATTCGTCGAAAAGAGAACTGTTCGCTGAACTAATCTTTCTTTCTTATTTAATGTCATAATGGGTGTATTCCGTTTATTTTCACATTGAACAATCGATTCTCGGAAACTGTAACTCAAAGAAAAGGTACCAGCCCCTTAAGTTGACTTACTCGAAAAAGACGAGATACTCACAGGAGCTTACTAGAAAAGAACTGATACAAGCCATATATCTTCTGTCCTTACCATGCAAATTTAAACCCAAAACTGTGTTCCGTTTCTCTCACCGATTAGTGAATCACTGGAATTCTTTACCAGAAGACATAATATCAGCACTTTCTGTTGATTAATTAAAACAGAGGTTGAATCTCCACAATACTAAAGATTGCAAGGAATAATATACTTACTCTAGAAAGCGAATTCTGGGTTACGTCTGGCGCTAATATATGAACCTGTGCGTTACTAATGCTCAGAGTTAGTGGACTTTCTTTAGTCTGTCGTAGAAGTTATGGGTTGTGGGGTTTCACCTATCCTAGAGAAAGCCCAGGTAAGCTAGTTAAAACGCTACTTCAATGTCGCTGAAGCTGTTAGACTATTTTACAAGACATTGAGCATACTTGGGATACCAGTTGGAATTTTAACAGCTTATATTGCCTTGAAAAATGAGCATCATCATGAAGAAAAAATGAAAGAAAAGGAAACATTCATTCGTGTTTTTCCAAGAGAGATAAGGGTAGTTAACTTTGTTTATTTAATCTTGATTCCACCAGAAGCTACATTGGGGTGATGGTAAAACTTACTTTACGGATCACATTTCGAAATTAATAAACTATACGCCGCGCGCCAGATCTACGTTTCCTAAGCCAGCAGATTAGCTCATTTAGCTTGTAAATTTTTTAGTCTCATCGCTTGCTTGTTATGCTGGTTTTAATAGTCACCAAGTTTGTTCTTGTGAACCCACCTAACGATTTATGTAGAAATACATATGTTGTTCATAGTTATTTGCTTTAATCTCTGATGATTTGGAATTACAGGTTGCCTGCATTTATGAGGTAGAAATAAATTCGTGTCATTTGTTTAAGACCATTAGACGTAATAACAGTAACCGATATTTCTCGTACGTTCTATAAACTGAATCCAAAGGCTCTAAAACGTTCCAACACTTTTTATTGGGATGCCTTGTTTTCAGATGTGCTGAAAGGGTCCTTTTTCTAGTGTATGAAATATTTTGACGTCCAACCCAAGTAGTTTATATGTAATTAGCTAATCCATTGTTTTTTAATTCCAGTTATTTGTTGTCCCAACCATCTGGGTCACTTCGCTAACATCGCTGCATTGGAGTTTACTTTATGTAATTGTTTCGTTTCCTTTAATAACTGAATAAGTCCGTGAATCCTTAACCAAGTATAAGTTATAGTATTTAGTTTCAGAATACCAAGAACTTAAGTCACTAGTAGCGAGATTTATACCTTCATAAACTCGTCAGTAAATGCTAACATCTTTTGACAGTGGGTTTTACACAACTCCATCCACTAAATAGATTTATTCTGTCTGTGGTAGATCAAAACCTTCATTGCTAAAGATTTGCACAACCTCTTGTAACCAGACCAAATCTGTAGTGGTTGCTCCTTCAGTACGTGCATATGGGGAATTACATTTGTGACAGACTGATACATGAGGTGCAGTAGTTGATCGTTTCCACCGCTTCGCTTGCCCCGGAGAATTTCCCGTCTTTAGTGGGTTGGTGTCTGGCGAAATCTGAACACGAACTCAGGAGAACCACTTGCATTCTACCAACTTTCACTACTTGTGGCCCAAGCGAATTGACCATCCTTCAGCTAGCAGACGAGTTTACTGCACAACACAACAGCTTCGTACTATTTCATGGATAAGGGATGTGATCTACCAAAGTAAGTATGCGTTAATTGAGGGTTTTGTATCATAGGTACATTCTAAGCATTGCTTTCGTTTCTTGAGACTACCGAATAAACCACACCGATGTCATATGACTCCGTAGACCGCGAGATTTTGTCGCAGTGTCTGTCATTGAAAGGCGTACCTCAGAAGTACCTAAACCCTGTGAAGGCTCTTTACTCGAACACTACCAGTCGAGTTCGCTTATAGAGAACTGTCATCTGCCTTTGCAACCTCAAGTGGTGTCCGTCAAGGCTGTCCACTTTCTCCGTTTTTGTTTACCTTCATCGTAGACCTACTGATGGAAATAACGTTCATATCGACTGAATTCTGGGGCATTGATCTGCTTCCAGGAGGTCCACTTATCGACTTAGAATACGCAGATGACATAGTCTTTTTTGGTGAAGACGCTGATAAAATGCAGTCTTTTGGTATCACTAAGCAACAATGCCAGAATGTTTGGGATGCGCTTCTCTCCTAAATGTTGCTTCAGGACTGGTCTGCATCAACACCCCAACTAAGGATAGGGAGTGAAGTCAGTCAGTTACAACGTAGGACCAGGCACATATGTGCATCGGTACAAGTTGCCATACCTCATGAGCGCATCAAGATGAACACCGGATCCATATGAGTAGTTAGGTCAATGTTGGTGATATATAAAAGAAAGATTGCATATTAGGATATAGTACAGGAAGAAAGGTCTAGTACATAGAAAGAAAGATATGAAGCGATTTAATCTCATAGTTTAAGGGAAGACAGGGAGTGTATACACCTACGCCATTGTGATAGATTCTGAGCCATGTCACCAGGAGTCTCCAACCATTGGTTACGAGAGTCACGCGGACCTCAACCAAGTAGTCTGCATCTACCGACATGGCTCAGACTAGAAGTTAATGACTTTATGAACTGATCTCACGTTTTTGTTTGTTCGCCCCTAACCTTCTTCCAACCATCCCCCACACCAGTTAGCATTGCATGTGGTGGTAATCGGTGTTCAGGCATGCGCAACACGTAGCCTAACCATCTCAGTCGATGAAGATTCACAACCTCATCAACTGACTTACCATCATTCCCTAATACCCAGCGTCTAACCCCACCATTACTTATCCAGTGATCCCAGACCCTAGCATCCGTTTAACTTGTTATTGCCCCCGAATGCCCTGGTACGGCCGCAATTAGGGGAAGTCCGCTCTCCCTCTCGAAATGCTCTCACATGGCCACGCGTATATAGTTTCTGCCAGGGAAGTCCTACTCATTGCCTCGTGGCGGGGGTGTTGTTTACGAAATCGAGAGGACGGAAAGCGAACGTCCGGCGCTTTAACCGGGCTGGTGGACACGGAGAGTCCACCTAGTGGAGTTGGAAAACCCTGATTCCAAACCAATGGTGGACATGGGATCCAGTATCCTGAAGGAACAAATGGCGTAGGAATCAGTCGTTGGTCACCGGCTACCATGGGACTGCATCTCCTTACGTTGCTCCACTGCCTTGTGGAGCAGACCTTCAGGTCGAAGGCTCCGGGTGTGGTCTCTTAAGAAAACCACCTGCTTCGGTTTGGGCGCTCGGGCAGTATCACAGCCCTCACACATATCAAGTGAGATCTGTGTGGTGCATATGCATTTGGTGCCTCCTCCTTTTCTTACTAGTAATAGTAGTAGTAATTTTCCCAATACATTTTGGGCCAAAGAAAGTAATTTGGGATGTCATCATATTATGTCAAATGATATTTGAAATTTATCTGATGAATACACATGATCAATTTCTCCAGAGAATTGAAGTATGAGTTGCCGTTTTTTGCAAAATGGTTCTAACAATTTCTTTAACTATCGAGACAAATTATGATCTAGGGGGTTTATCGTTGATATTACAGGTATAAGGAAGTATCTGAATTGTTGACTCTAGAAAGACCATGGTGTTTGTTCACCATTTACAAACGTACCGATAGAAAAATCTATAGATAAGATATTCCAGCACTACAAACTACCCTCTTTGCCTGGAAATGAGTCGAGAAAATTACTACTAGTGTGATGTGTGCTACGTATGTTGATAGACATAAGTAGAATGTTTATTTATTTAGGCAAATAAACATTGGTACAAGGAGGCGACAAATATATATGTGTCACAGTTCGTCATTCCATTTGTGTCAGGGCTGAAATACTGTCCGGGTCCTAAAACCGAAGCAGTTGGTTTTCTTAGGGGGACAATCCCCGGGCCTTCGATCTAGATGTCTCATCCGGAAGGCAGTGCAGCAAAGTTAGTAGACGCAGTTCCATGGTAGCCGGTGACCAACGATTCGTTCATACGCCATTTGTTCCCTCAGGATCCTGGGGCCCATGTGCACTATTGGTTTGGAATCAGTTTCCCAATCCCTTTAGGTGAATCTCCCGTACTCACCAACTCGGTTAAAGCGCTGGACATTGTCTTTTCGTTCTCTCAATTTCTTAAACAACAGTAATGTCTTGGGAAGGTAATGAGTAGGGCTTCCCTTACAGTGGCTGTATGCACGTGGACATATGAAAACATTTCGAGAGGGAGAGCTGACTCCCTCCACCCTCGGATGTACCAGGGCGTTAGGGGGCTATGTAGTATGTAGCACTAATCGGAAGTGGAATGCCTGCCAACAGAAAGTTGGATTGAGAAGAACATGAAAGAAACGAACTATTGGAATAACAACAAAAGTAGAACAATCTATGAAGTATATAAGCAACAAGTGAAGGGAGATATACAAATAATGTATCTAATGTACAGTTTCCATATTTTACGAAGACGCTGCATATATATATATCACAATAACAATCGAAGTAACAATCCTCCAATTATTTTGATGTTTTTCCTTCATTGATCCTTTGTCTTCTTTCCGTACATCTTTCAATAATTTGTCATGTTTCTATTGTCGATTGTTCCACCTAAAAATCTTCTGTCTAGTCATATTTTTAGAGTGAAATGGAAAAGAAATATTTCGATGAACATAAAATGTGTCAACTTGCTTTAACGGAGAAAAACAGTCCAGCGCAAAAGAAAAAACAATCATGTAGGGGATGAAGAGAGAAGATAAAGCACATTTTTCTGTAAAGCTTGTTGATTTAAAAAAATAAAAAATCTATATTCATTGAGAATATCCTTGAAAAAATGGAAATTAAGCAAATGAATAGAAGCTAACATTCAATGATAGGCTATAGTCATTCTAATTATTGTTAAATTCTGCTTCTTATTTGTCTAGGCTCAATGTAGTTTTGAACAAAAACTTCATTATGTATTATATTGATTAATTACTACTCTTTTTAACAAGACATACACGTGACATTATTCATCTGTGGTGTAAAGTAAAAAATACACTATTTAGGAAGTTCTTAACATTTCTAGAAAGAGTAATGGCTTATTGTCTGAAGGCGGAAAACAACATGAACTTTCTTTGAATTTAAAGGGTGTTGGAAAGGATGTATATATTATCAAATTACTAAAAACTTGTAGATCATTAGGTTGTTAGCTATATTTGTGAAATTCACTAAATGTATAATATTATAGTCTGATAGGATTTTACTTATTCATTTTAAGATTACTGCTTACCATTAAGTAGTACATGTAAAACATTAAAGGCATAAAGGTTTAAAGAAAATATGATCACTTTCTAGATTATTGGTCAAAGGTTACTAAGACATGAATGTTTAATTGAATTTGACTTATTTCAAGGATTTAAACTGGAAATAGTAAGTAATAAGGATGAATAATTTCATTATCAAAATGTAAAATTAAATGAAAACATCTTTCCTTGGAAAAGTGGTTATCTTTACCATTTAAAGTAATCTTTTTTAACCTAAAACTTAAAAAAAGCTAAAGTATTTGAATATTTTAAAAATGACTTAAACATAAATTCCTAATTACAATTTCTTCATTTCAGTTATGCAATATAAAGATAAAGTTCTTTATGATGATATACATTAGCATTTATCTTATTGAATAGTTTATTTAATATAATGTTATATTCAATTAAAATGACTAGACAAAATAAATCTGATTAAATATATGAAAGAAGATTAGTAGAAAATCTTGCATTATGTCATTCATAAAAGTCAATTAATCAAATAGTTTCTCATTACAAAATAAGGAAGAGATTGTTAATATATATATATAACCAACCTTCTTCAATAAAAGCTTGGACCAGATTGCCAGACAAGACGTTGGATTTACTTCAAAATTCATTCGCTGAGATTTTACAAATACATTCTTCCTCTTCAATTAATGTTCATTTCTAAATTTTATCATAAATTAACATTTACATGGAATTATTTTACCAATTAACTGAATGACGTAAATGATCTGTAACTAGAACATAGTAATTCGCAGGAAAAGTATACATTAGAAAAAAAAATTAACATTTAACATACTGTAATTATCAGATTTCAGATGATTACATAACGGATATCGATAAGATGGGACAACACACTGGATATGAAATGTTATTATAGACTTAATCCAAGTTTACTTCCACTCAAATTTTTACTTAACTTTAGTATGATTTAAATGGTTCATAAATGCTTCGATTGTTTAAAATTTGGAAATATATGAAAATTCATATAATAGATAGATTATTTGGTAGCCAGCTTGATTCGGTTTTACGGTTAAGTTCGATTAGTTGGTTAGGAGTGGCTAAGATTGTGGTAACATTAAAAAAAATATATTTAAATGGAATTGTAGATGGTATGAAATTAACAAATTTTTCACTCAGAATACAGTAAGCTATACAATATTAAACGTGGAATAGTACAATTTTTTAATTATCTTAATGTTCAGTCAGAAATTATGTAATGTAATAAATAATATTAATTAGCGGAGATGTAATCAAGTGAATGCCAAGTAAATTACTTCTATGTTTAGGAGCAACGTTATAAGTAACTCAGGTAAATTCTAAAAAATGTAAAGGAGATATGCTCATTATTTGTATAAGAATACATTTGAAATGTTTAGTGAGTCAATGAACTTGTGATTAACACAAGGGATCGAAGAGGTTGCTAGGTGACGGCCTTATGTTCTTCATATGGAACTAAAAGGGAACTGAAAGCTTTACTTTATAATTTCAGACAAAGCACCATGTATGATGTCCTTTAAAATAAGACTAAACCAGTTCTGTTCAATGCGTACCCAAAAATGGCGGTGATATGTTTATATAGTGGCTACAAAATGTGTCTAAAA